GGGGCCACGAAACGCTGCCCTGGGTGGGGGAACCGCATGCGAACACCCCCACTGGGGCCTTCGGTGGAGCTCCCTATGGGGCTACGAAACGCTGCCCTGGGTGGGGGAACCGCATGCGAACACCCCCACTGGGGCCTTCGGTGGAGCTCCCTATGGGGCCACGAAACGCTGCCCTGGGTGGGGGAACCGCATGCGAACACCCCCACTGGGGCCTTCGGTGGAGCTCCCTATGGGGCCACGAAACGCTGCCCTGGGTGGGGGAACCGCATGCGAACACCCCCACTGGGGCCTTCGGTGGAGCTCCCTATGGGGCTACGAAACGCTGCCCTGGGTGGGGGAACCGCATGCGAACACCCCCACTGGGGCCTTCGGTGGAGCTCCCTATGGGGCCACGAAACGCTGCCCTGGGTGGGGGAACCGCATGCGAACACCCCCACTGGGGCCTTCGGTGGAGCTCCCTATGGGGCTACGAAACGCTGCCCTGGGTGGGGGAACCGCATGCGAACACCCCCACTGGGGCCTTCGGTGGAGCTCCCTATGGGGCCACGAAACGCTGCCCTGGGTGGGGGAACCGCATGCGAACACCCCCACTGGGGCCTTCGGTGGAGCTCCCTATGGGGCTACGAAACGCTGCCCTGGGTGGGGGAACCGCATGCGAACACCCCCACTGGGGCCTTCGGTGGGCCTTCGGCATAGAACGAAACGCTGCCCTGGGTGGGGGAACACGGGGCTGCCCTGGGCCCTGGGGGAACCGCATGCGAACACCCCCACTGGGGCCTTCGGTGGAGCTCCCTATGGGGCCACGAAACGCTGCCCTGGGTGGGGGAACCGCATGCGAACACCCCCACTGGGGCCTTCGGTGGAGCTCCCTATGGGGCCACGAAACGCTGCCCTGGGTGGGGGAACCGCATGCGAACACCCCCACTGGGGCCTTCGGTGGAGCTCCCTATGGGGCTACGAAACGCTGCCCTGGGTGGGGGAACCGCATGCGAACACCCCCACTGGGGCCTTCGGTGGAGCTCCCTATGGGGCCACGAAACGCTGCCCTGGGTGGGGGAACCGCATGCGAACACCCCCACTGGGGCCTTCGGTGGAGCTCCCTATGGGGCCACGAAACGCTGCCCTGGGTGGGGGAACCGCATGCGAACACCCCCACTGGGGCCTTCGGTGGAGCTCCCTATGGGGCTACGAAACGCGTGAGAGGTGTGCCGAGAGCAGAGGCAAGGAGGGGGAGGAGGGGGAAGAGGAGGAGGAGGAGAGGACGCGGGCACCGTCTCTTCAAAACGAGGACCCAACACCACAGGATGGTTGGGAAAAACTCCCAAAAAACTCTCGCCGGGAAGACTCCAGGTGTCCTGGGCCCTTCCCCCCCAAACCGGCCCAAAACCGTAGTCACAAAGGTTTTTGGAAGGTTCTTTTCTGTTGAAAAAAGCGGTTGTTGGAAGGTTTGTTTGGAAGGGTGTTGGAAGGTGTTTAGAAGGTTTGTTGGAAGGTTTGTTGGAAGGTGTTTGTCAGTATTTATGGGGCAGGTTTCGTTGGGAAGGTTGTTGGGATGTTGTTGGGATGTGTTTGGCGATTTCGCTGGATGTTGGAAATGTGTCTCCGAAAGGTTGTTGGAAGGTTTTTGGAAGGTTTCTGGGGCGGCGTTTGGAAGGTTTTTCGGTCTGTGTTTGGAAGATGTCGTGGAAGGTGGTTGCAAGGTTGTTGAAAGGTGTTTGGAACAAAAACCTTCCAACAAAAATCTTCAAACAACCCTCGCCATGAATAGTCCAAGATTCCTGGAACCTCCCTAAAATAACCTACCAGATACACTCTCGTCACTAAGGTTTTTGAAATGGATTTTAAAAGGTTTGTGCGAGGTTTTTTGTTTGGAGAGTTTTTGGTTGAGTTGTTGTGGGTGTTTGGAAGGTTTGGTGGGAGGCGTTGGGAAGTTTGTTGGCAGGTTTTTGTTTTGAAAGGTTTATGGACGCTTGTTGGAAGGTGGTCGGGATGTTGTTTTGTTTCCCGAAGGTTGTTGGAAGGTTTCTGGAATGTGTTTGGCGGATGTGCTAACTGTTGGAAGGTTGTTTGGGGTTGTTTTTGTAAGGTTGTTGGAGTGTTTCTTGTTTGTGTTTGAAACGTTGATGGCAAGTTTTTTGGAAGGTAATGGGAAAGTGTGTTGGCATATCTTTGGGAGGTGTTTGGAAGGTGTCCGGGGAAACCTTGCCAAAGAACCTTCCAGAAACCCCCTTCGCTAATAATTCAGGATTCCTGGAACCTTATAAAAGAAGAACCGTCCAAAAGCCCTTGTCACGAAGAAACTACTATTCCTGGAACCTTCCAAAGCACCTACTCAAAACCCTCGTCACGAAGGTTTTTGGAAGGTTTGTTGGAAGGTGTTTGGAAGGTCTTTATTGGAAGATTGCTGGGCGGTGTTTGGACAGTTTTTGGAAGGTTGGGTTGCAAGGTTTTTGGAAGGTTGTTTGGGGAGTTTTTTTTAGGGGGGGTGCAGTTTTCGGGC